GGGCCCAGGCCAGCAGGTGCCTCCCTCCATCCCTCCCTCCCTCGGGAGCCTGCTGCCCGCCCCAGTAGAGAGCAGGTCGCCCCAGCCCAGCCCTCCCTGTGCTTTGGAAGGAAGTCCGCCCGGAGCCTGCTGGTGACTCCCTGCTTCATAAGGTGAACAAACAGTGGCACAAGCATCAGGAGACCCGCCTGAGAGTGACACTGACAGCGGAACCAGGCCTGCCCCAGCCGCCCGGCCCTGGCCTCTCCCCCGGGCCTGTCGCTTGCAGGGGAGCCCTGGTGAGACTGTGCTCAGCTCTCACAGGCTCCGATCCAGAGAGGCCAGGGGTTCGAGTGAGCAGGTGAGGAGAGGACCTGCTACATCCACCTTCAGTCCCGAGGGCGCCTTAGAGCGTCACTTCCGCTTGGTGGTCACGGCCTGCACAGCACGCTGGTGTGTGCGCGCGTGTGTGTGAATCCAGATGGCAGCAGCGAGCTGGTGTGTGTGTGTGTGTGTGTGTGGTGAATCCAGATGGCAGCATACTGGCTTGTGTGTGTGTGTGTGTGTGTGTGTGTGTGGTGAATCCAGATGGCAGCATACTGGGGGTTGTGAATCCAGATGGCAGCAGCGAGCTGGTGTGTGTGTATGGGGGGCGGGGGTGAATCCAGACAGCAGCACGCTGGCGTGTGCATGTGTGTGTGTGTGTGTGGGGGGGGTTGTGAATCCAGATGGCAGCAGCGAGCTGGTGTGTGTGTGTATGTGTGGTGAGGGGGTGCTGGGGGGTGCTGATGTGAAGAGCAGAGAGAAGCTGAGTGGAGTCCTCAGGGAGACCCCCTTGAAATCAACCCAGGAGGCAAGAGCTCTGGCCTGAGGCCCGTCCTGCCTGTCCTCAGCTGGGACCTCAGTGGCCCATGTCGGCCCTAAACCTGGAGTCCCCTGACGGGTTCCCACACAAGGACGCCTGCTGGGCCAGGATCTGGCGTTTCCTCCGTGGGGAGCTTGGGGCTGGGAAGCGCCGATCCGCACGTCTCAGCCTCACTAGCTCAGACGCAGGGCCGCGCCCACCTCCAACAGCTCGTGACGAGACTGACCACAACCGGCCGTCCTGACAGCCGCCCAGCACTCCGCGCACAGGACCGCGTCCACTGCACGGGGCGGGCAGACCCACGAAGCCAGGCCGGGCTGCCTCCAGGTGGGACGCTGTGAGCACTGGTGAGGCCAGCACGGCCTGGCTCGGACGAGTGATAGGCACTGGAGATGTGGCTGCATAAACAGGCCTGTTTTCCTCAATCAAAATCTCCCTCGACTCCCCCACCCCACACCCTCCCATCTCCTCCCCGGCCGCCTGGGGGTGTGAGTGCCACAGCACGCGCGTGGG